ATAGGATGTTGGTGAACAAACTTTCAATATCGTACGATACCATAAATTTATTTAAGGTATCGATACTGTTAATGTTTAACAAAAGAAATTGTGTCATTAGCAATATAATCAGATAGTAAATTAGAAATTAATAATTCCCAAAGATATTTGGCTAGTTTGTAATTATAGGTATTAATAGATAAGACAAATAGACGAAATTTTGGAATTGAATAGGAGAGGCCTACACTTATGTAACTTAGGAAGTCCATACATTCTTGCAGGTTGTAAACCACTTGGATAAATGTTCTTGTAAAGTTCCACTTATCTTCGGTGTAATTTTTAATTTCCATAGAAAACATTGAATGCTCCCTTCTCTCGAGACCAATAGACACTTAGAAACAGGAATTAAGGAGCATTTAGTTCGAAACAAGTCATCACATATATTTCAACATCTTCAAAACTCAGTTTAATGTCAAAACGCATCTAATTCAGACTGTTTTACTATTTTTGACTCCGCCCACAATTAATACTTCCCAACCTAAAAAAAGAAGCCCTTTACATTGCTTGAGGAAATCCGTCACTGAACAAACAAACAACTCATTACAATATCACTCTCTCATCCTAATTCCTACCGTATATTATACGTGACTTTCCATATTATTTCTGACCTCTATATACATGACTTACCTTAATATTTGTTTCTTTTGTCTTACATCTGACCGGTATTATTTAAACCGTTAGCAGCATAAGCTTTATTACCTGATGATGACGTGGGACACGTCGTAACATGTCGTTCACAAGTTTCGTATACTTTATTATAGATGCACAAATGCATACATACTGTACATATATATAATATATATATATAGCCACAACCACAAGAAAAGCAACAAAACCGCACACAATAATTATAAGTTCTTAATTAGGCTTTATTAGGCTCTCCACCTCAAAGGAGAAAGAAAAGAAAACCCAGGTGAAGCAAAACAGAGAGTACAATTCTTTCAACAACTCATTATGTAAAAGTAAATATCAGTGTTACCATCACTATCATTAAACATCATCATAGCCAACAATTATGCATTCATAGAATTAAATCATAATAACATAGAAAAGTGCATAAGGTAACATCAATCTAAAATTAGGCTCTTTAGAAATAATCATAAAAAAAAAACCAATTTGGCCATCCAGACTTACCCAACTGAACACTCATGGGTATCTAGTACCAATAATAATAACCTCAACTCTGAATATACTGTGAACCTCATCTCTGAATATACTGTGAACCTCAACTCTGAATATACTGTGCACCTCAACTCTGAGACCAGGTAGTAGCTTCCCAAACAACAGTCCTAGAGTAACCCAGTACCAATGTTGATACACTATGATTAATAGGATCATAAAAACTAGAGGATAACACTACCAACATCAAATCATCATAATATAATGTCCAATTACACTACATATTGTAAGCTATAGCAAGGTCACATCGATCTGACTACAGTAACATCATAACATTAAATCATCATTGTAATATAACATCCAATTAAATCACGTAAACTTACAGTACCATAACATCGATTAGTATTAAACCAACATCATAATAAAGCATCTAGTTAGCTACACATGCTCACTACAATATCATAACATCGATCAGTCAACATCATAACATTAAATCATTATCGTAATACAACATCTAATTAACTACATAAGCGTATTACAGCAAGATCGATTTTACTATGGGCGCCGCCATCTTTGTTTACGTTAGAGCGCCCCCAGTTTGGGCTGATTAAACTATCGCCAAAAAGTTCAAATGTAGTATGTCACGAGGATAAATATTATATCGCCTAAATTACTTCAATTTCTGCATTATATGGTGTGAGGATAGCTCCTTACATTCTATAATAGTTATAACAGGGATACAATTATATCTTAAAAATTATAACTTATAAACATACCCGTAATTTGTTCTCCAAAACTCAGTGGATTGCTGTTTATCCTCACTCGTCGAAATCTCACCAGCAATCCCGCTAAGCGGGCTAATTCTTACTGTTTACACTAAAGTTTCTCAGATATCACTAAGCCTCGTAGATATACTCCATTATCAGACGTTTTTAATGTAAGTGAGTTTCTTACTATACAATAACATAATATTAACAACCATGTGTATGTGTATAATAATTGTGACTATTTGTAATTTGTAGGAATATATCGCACTATCTTCTATCAAGAATGAATACACTATCAAAAAGTATTATTGCATGTGACAAGGCTCTTCGTAAAGTTACATTACATACTTGTCGAATGAGGGCGGTGGGGTCAAATCAATGATCAAAATAAAATGCTTCTGCTGTACAACAAATATATATATGTATACAATGCAAGATAAAAATCAGTATAATCACGTAATTGTTTTAAATATCAAACTCCCACAATCCATCCTGACTACTAAGTCATTTGCCCTCAAATGCTTCAAAGATAATCTTACAAGAAACATCATTCATCAAATAAGAGGTAAAAGATATAAAACATCATAAAAGTAAAACAAAAAAACTACAGTACATTTACAACCAATGGTCATCACTCAGCAATAGTCGACATAGGATTCCGATATGGGTTAGGATGTACACCTTTATTTGACCTAGAAGAACGCCTCAAGACAGGTGGTTGTTTCTCAATAACAGGCTGGCTGTTGATAACCAATGATCCATCATCATTTCTTTCGTCGTTCGAAATAAATAGGTATTGCGTTAGATTGGGCTTGTACAAAATCTTGATTCCAGTCATACAGTGTACGGGATAACAGTTGGTCAATTGGAATCAAGCCTTCTCGTCCATACATCAAACGATAAGGTGAGTATCCTGAAGTTCTATGTGGTGTATTGTTGTAAATGTATATCAGGTGAAAAATCATTTCTGGTCATTGCCTTCTATCTTTTGGTTCAAGTGATCTAATCATTTTGCATAATGTACCGTTAAAACGCTCCACCTGTCCGTTGTCTTCCGGGTGATACTGAGTAGTACGAGACTTCGTGATACCGTAGAATTTGCATAACTCCTTAATAAGGTGACACTCAAAATCTCGCCCTCTATCAGAATGTATACGACTTGGTATACCATAATGAGCGAACCAGTTGTCCCTTAATGCTCTTGCTACTATAGGTACTGTTTGGTCTTTACATGGAACTGCTTGCACATATTTCGTGTATACATCCGTCATCACTAAGATGTTCTCAAAACCCCCTTTTCCTCTATCAATTTTTAGAAAGTCGATGGCTAAGATCTCCGATGGTCTGAATGCCAATAAATGTCTCATAGGAGTCTTCAGAGTTGGTGTCGGCGCTTTGGCAACAGTACAATTAAAACACTTCTTAATGTAACGTTTAACATCACCATATAATCCTGGCCAGAAACATCTACTGCGAAGAAGGCTCAAAGTTCTTCCCACACTTTGATGCCCCCATTTGTCATGTATTGTCTCGAGTATCATTCTGCGTAAACACCTAGGGACAAGCAACTGGTGTACTTCCTCTTTGTTTACAAGGATCTTCCGGTATAAGACACCTTTCTTCTCTATGATACGATCCCATTCTCTTAGGTAACTCTTTACCTCCGAAGTCTCACTTGGAACCTGCTGTCCCGGACTCCACTTTTCTCTCCAACGTTTTCGGATAACACGTAAACTGTCATCTTCATCTTGTAACATTGCCAATTGATCGTTACTGTATGATGGAAGAGTATAGGATGTAGAACCATCTGATTTTGTAGTTCTTTGCTGAACGGTACGACAGGCTACTAAGCTTTGTGGGATCGCTGAACAATGTATCGTCTGCACCAACACCTCGTTTACTTCATCGGACTGCATGTTAGTAGGACATCTACTAAGCGCGTCAGCACACTTGTTTGTACGTCCAGGGCGATATTTTATCTTTATATCAAAACTTGCAAGTTGAGCGACCCAACGCAGTGCTGCAGCCCCGAGTTTTGCTGTTTGTAAGTATGCAAGAGGATTATGATCAGTGTATACGACAGTGTGTCCCCCGATTAAGTAATCCCTAAGTTTCTCAGACACAGCCCACTTGAGGCCTAGTAACTCGAGTTTGAAGCTTGAATAGTCAGGGTAATTTCGCTCCACTCCACTCAATCCTCTACTAGCATATAAAAGCGGGTGTAACTCACCATCATCCCCTCGTTGACAACATGTCCCAAATGACTAACTTCTTTTTGTAGGAACTTGCACTTCTTTCCCTTTAATTTATGACCATATTCCATCAATCTCTGGAACACCAACTTCAGCCTAACTACATGTTCCTCCAAAGTCTTAGAAAAAATCAAAATGTCATCAAGGTATATAATTAATTGTGATAGATTGAGGTCTCCCAATACCAACTCCATTATTCTCTGAAAAGTACTGGGACTATTCACTAATCCCTGGGGCATTCTTAAAAACTCGAACAATCCCCACGGGACTCTGAAAGCAGTCTTTGTACTGATCTATCATCCATGGCGATTTAAAAATAGCCGTTGGCCAAATCCAATGATGAAAAGCTAACGTTTCTTCAATTCTTGGGAGTGGGAATGAATCTCGGATGGTTCTTGTGTTCAACTGCCTGTAGTCAATACATAATCTTAATGATCCATCCCTTTTCCTCACTGGCACCACAGGACTGGCATAGGGACTAGTCGATTTCCGAATAATTCCTTTTTCTAGCATCTCCTGAAGTAGTTGCTTCATCTCTGGTATCAGTGTTGAAGGAACTCGTCGGTATGGTAGTCGTATAGGTGGACCATCTGTCGAAAAAATCTGTCGCAATAACCTAGGTCCATATCACTTTCAGCAAATGCATGTCTATATTCTTCAAACAGCTTCGCAAGTACATCAGCTTCCTTGGGTGTAACATCATTCAAACTGACACCGGTAGGCAATAATATCTTATCTCCATTTATACAGACATGTTCATTGTTTGTTTGCTCAACAGACATTGCTTCTTCTTCAATGGTATTGTGCACAAGACCCAACCCAGATTCAATCATAACATCTGCAATTACAACTTCAATTGCACCATCTCTTTCTTGAATGTGTACTTCCTCTTTCTGCTCTAATGCCACTGCAGATGCCAACGTGATCCCTGGGTCCACCGTTTTTTTCTGTGTCACTTCGGTTAGCAATAATGTGTACCTCAGGAACTTCCACTCGGATACAACCTTCAAAGATATCAAGTCCATTATTGTCCAAACTACCCCTCTCGATTGCTTCCACCATCATATTTTTACCAGTCCACTGAGATTGACTTCTCAGATGACATTTTACTCTTTTTATAGTCAAGGGTGGTATTGCCTCTGGCTCCTTAACTATCACCTTAACCCTCTCCACCTCTGTTGTGCAGTGTTCTTTGGATATTTCCCTAGTTTTCATGACTAAATCCCACTCTTTATCTTCACCCAGACTTTCAACTTCTCGAATCAGTGCTCTTAGGGCGTTACATCCCAATATTACTGGATATTTCTCATGTCGATGTATCACTATCTGATCTTCAATTACCAGAAATCCTACTTCTACAGTCTTACCTCGAATGGCTATAGTTGATTGTAAGAATCCAACCACAGGGATGGTAGTTCCAGACACTCCAGTTACTCTAACAATATCTTTAGCACTGTCCAATTCTCCGCTTGATGGCTGTAAGTACTTCTGATAATAGGATAATGGTATGAGACTCGCCTCTGCTCCTGTGTCAAGGATGCAACCAGTCGTTATCCCTGCAATTAAAACTTCTGCCGTGGGGCTATTGGAGACAATATTATTTGGGATGTCACGATTCAAGTCACCAGGTGCCACTAGACCATTTACCACTTCTACCTCGGGACTTTGTGGCGTTTTAACTCTTCCCATCCGCTCCGGACAATCTTTACAAAAATGGCCAAACTTTTTACACTCAAAACACAATGGTGGTGATTTGCACTCCCTCTTCAAATGTCCCTCTCTCCCACAATTATAGCATTCTAATTTCTTTTTGGGTTTCTTGTTTAGTACCTGAACAACTTCATTCAGGGTCTCTCTTAAGTACGAAATCTCATTACGCATGGCTGTCAGGTTGCCACCATCATGGGTTATACGAGCAGACTCAACTTCATAGGGTCTTACCTTTGCGTTGACAGTAGGATCAGCATCTTGGAACAATTTCAGCACCTCATTCCTCATCTCAATAAAAGTCCGTTGATTGAATTCAATAGCAGTCCTCCTAAGCTCTCGTTGAACCGTCTGGTTCCGCACACCCCGGATGAACCTCTCCTTCAAGGTATTGTCCTTTAGCATGGCAAGTGCATCTCTCTCTCCTACTGAGGCTGCTCCTACCATCCGGTCATACAACCTAAGTAAAGCAGCACTAGAATCTGCTAAAGTCTCACCTTCTTTTTGCACCCGGCTGTGTAACTCTGCACTCAAGGAATGGACAGATTCCTTCAGGCCAAACCGATTCTTGAGTATATCTTTCAGTTGATCAACATCCTCACGGACTGCAGCTTCGTGACATAGAACCTCATCTTTGGCAGAACCTGCCAAAAATGATACAAGTGAGTGGGCTCTATCCTGATCGGGGACACGATGACAGTACTAATCAAATTCGTCCAACCATTCTTGAACTGTCAGATCTCCTGCCTTTTGGGGTGAACCTCTGAATTTAGTCAGTTTAACAGTAGGTACCACACGTGTTGCTGCTAGGTTGTTAAAAGCTCCAGTCAGGGCTGCTATCATCTGTCCCAGGCCACCTGCTGCTGCCTGCATGTCATCATCAACATCATTAATCATCATAATAATTTATAGGAAGAAAATATAATGAAATATAATATCCAAAATGATTAACCAATAATAGAGTAAAATCAATCAATATGCTGCTGTACCTCAATTTAACAATAAAAAGAATATCATAAACATACAACACAATTATAAGCAGCAAAAAAAAACTATTTGCGTAAATGCAAAATACTCAAGTTTTCTCTTTATCTCGTCCAGCCAGAGGTTTTCCTTACTCGATCCAGTTCACGCTGTCACCACTCACTCGCTTATACGGTAACTTGCTTCTCAACTTGACTGATTCGCTGTAGCCTAATTCCACTTCTGACACCAGTTTGTCGTGATGCGATTTTCTCGTCCAGGATGCCACAACCACAAGAAAAGCAACAAAACCGCACACAATAATTATTAAGTTCTTAATTAGGCTTTATTAGGCTCTCCACCTCAAAGGAGAAAGAAAAGAAAACCCATGTGAAGCAAAACAGAGAGTACAATTCTTTCAACAACTCATTATGTAAAAGTAAAACAAATCAGTGTTACCATCACTATCATTATGTTTAAACATCATCATAGCCAACAATTATGCATTCATAGAATTAAATCATAATGACATAGAAAAGTGCATAAGGTAACATCAATCTAAAATTAGGCTCTTTAGCAATAATCATAAAAAAAAACAATTTGGCCATCCAGACTTACCCAACTGAACACTCATGGGTATCTAGTACCAATAATAATAACCTCAACTCTGAATTTACTGTGAACCTCAACTCTGAATATACTGTGAACCTCAACTCTATACTGTGCACCTCAACTCTGAGACCAGGTAGTAGCTTCCCAAACAACAGTCCTAGAGTAACCCAGTACCAATGTTGATACACTATGATTAATAGGATCATAAAAACTAGAGGATAACACTACCAACATCAAATCATCATAATATAATGTCCAATTACACTACATATTGTAAGCTATAGCAAGGTCACATCGATCTGACTACAGTAACATCATAACATTAAATCATCATTGTAATATAACATCCAATTAAATCACGTAAACTTTACAGTATCATAACATCGATTAGATTAACACCATAGTATTAAATCAACATCATAATAAAGCATCTAGTTAGCTACACATGCTCACTACAGTATCATAACATCGATAAGTTAATAACATCATAACATTAAATCATTATCGTAATACAACATCTAATGAAAGCCCCATTCCGGCAAATTTTTAGTTTTTAAGAAAAATCTAATTTTTGTATAATGTTATAAAGATTTATAAATATAATACGGAATTGCTAACTCTGAATATACTGTGCACCTCAACTCTGAGACCAGGTAGTAGCTTCCCAAACAACAGTCCCAGAGTAACCCAGTAGCAATGTTGATACACTATAATTAATAGGATCATAAAAACTACAGGATAACACTACCAACATCAAATCATCATAATATAATGTCCAATTACACTACATATTATAAGCTATAGCAAGGTCACATTGATCTGACTACAGTAACATCATAACATCGATTAGATTAACACCATAGTATTAAATCAACATCATAATAAAGCATCTAGTTAGCTACACATGCTCACTACAATATCATAACATCGATCAGTTAACATCATAACATTAAATCATTATCGTAATACAACATCTAATTAACTACAAAAGCGTAGTACAGCAAGATCGATTTTACTATGGGCGCCGCCATATTTGTTTACGTTAGAGCGCCCCCAGTCTGGGCTGATTAAACTATCGCCAAAAAGTTCAAATGTAGTATGTCACGAGGATGAATATTATATCGCCTAAATTACTTCAATTTCTGCATCATATGGTGTGAGGATAACTCCTTACATTCTATAATAGTTATAACAGGGATACAATTATATCTTAAAAATTATAACTTATAAACATACCCGTAATTTGTTCTCCAAAACTCAGTGGATTGCTGTCTATCCTCACTCGTCGAAATCTCACCAGCAATCCCGCTAAGCGGCCTAATTCTTACTGTTTACACTAAAGTTTCTCAGATATCACTAAGCCTCGTAGATATACTCCATTATCAGACGTTTTTAACGCAAGTGAGTTTCTTACAATACAATAACATAATATTAACAACCATGTGTATGTGTATAATAATCGTGACTATTCGTAATTTGTAGGAATATATCGCACTATCTTCTATCAAGAATGAATACACTATCAAAAAGTATTATTGCATGTGACAAGGCTCTTCGTAAAGTTACGTTACATATTTGTCGAATGAGGGCGGTATGGTCAAATCATTGATCAAAATAAAATGCTTCTACTGTACAACAACAAATATATATGTATGCAATGCAAGATAAAAATCAGTATAATCACGTAATTGTTTTAAATTACAAACTACCACAGTAATTTATGACTTGGTGTGATACCCCACCCCCCATATAGAAAACAATACGGCATGGCTTATTTTAATATTAATATAGGGCACACGCGTGTGTTTCGAACTAAATATAAGCATTTTCATCGTGGTTTTATTTATTACAATTCATAGGCCTATTCTTTCACCATCATTACACATTGAGGCCCTTCTTTTAGGTAAAACGATCTATCTTAAATTTTCTTTCTTAAGTTTTGGGACTATTATGTTTTAAATAACTTAGAAGGCAAAGGAGGGCAAGCACAAGCTTCAACCCTAACAAATGCGCGAAAATTTTTTTTGTGCTTTTAATTCTAATTTCGTCGGAACTCCCTAATTGTGCAATTTTTAGAGGAAATTGGCCTACCTCAACAAAAAATGATCTTATGTTATATATGGCCACACTCGTTTTTTTTAAACTGAATATAAGTATTTTCCTTATGGCTTTATTTATTACAAACATATTCTTTCAACATCATTACACATTGAGGCCCTTTTATAATAGGTTAAACGATCTATCTTAAATTTTCTTTCTTGAGTTTGGGACTATGTGTTATAACTTAGAAGGCAAAGGTGAGCAAGCACAAGCTTTAACATAAAAAATGCGCGCGAAAAATGTTGGTTTTTTTCAATTCTAATTTCGTTGGAATTGATCAAAACTCCCTAAAATGTGCAATTTTTAGAGGAAATTGGCCTACTTCAGCAAAATATGCGATTTAAAATTTGAGATTTTCAGGCACTTTCCCGGGTGAAAAGGGCATTCAATGGGGAAAGACTTTCCACAGCTGGATATTTTCCCCTTGTCCCCCGGTTATTACGCCACTGCGGAGAATACCTGGCGGCTTAGATCAAATGCGCTATGGACACTTTTTGAAGTGGAGAATGGGTTGCAGGCAGGGGTATTGTGATATCTGTTCATTATATCTTCCTTTTTAGTTCCTATGCATGTAATGCAATAGGAACTATTGTAATCACTCTTGCTATTTCCTATGTTTTTTATTGTGTGTAGTGTGTATGTGTGTGTGTAGACATTTATGCAAATGCGCATGCGTC